TAAAAAAAACTCCTGTAGCCTCAATAACTAGGCAGAGAAACCTGGTTTCCATTTTTTTTTTTTTTACGTTCAGTTCAGAACACACACAACACAACACAACACAAACCTTTGGTGGAAAAATAAAGCTATGCCATGGTTTTTACGATACACGTACCAAGGCATTCTAGGAACTATTTTAACAGTTCAAGTTATAAACTTTTTGCCAAGTCTGCTTGCAACCTCCTTCCCCTCAAGTTAAGCTGCTCACCGACACTGGCATTAGAACAAAGATGGGCAATGCTGCTCTAAAAGGTACTGTAATGAGGCAAGGGTACAGATAAAATGATTGGAGAAGGATTGCGTCATAACTGAGTCTGGTTTTATTTCATCCTTCATTTGAGAGGCCCATGCGTGCAGGTTGAGAATGGGATGTCCTGAGGAGACCCAAAAAGAGTTCCACGTTTACTGTCGAAGAGAATTTTCTGTAGAGGTTGGAGTTTCTGCATCGGTGTAGAACCGGTCAATTTGGTCTTTGTACATCTTTGCTACAACAGGTCTTTTTAATTTCAGCGTTGGCCCTGTAAGGGGAAAAAAAAGAGAGCACAGAATTGTTGCTGCTTCTTGTTCTACATGCAACGCCATCTCCATTTGCACTTGTGGAAGCTTGGATTAAACTTGAGTCCATTGAGCCTAGAGCCTTGTTATACCATGCACACTGAGCTGTACAGCTGTTGATTAGTGGGAGCAGTCACACCCTTAGTCTAGAAACCTCTGGCTGTCCCCTACATGCAGAGCTGTGACTTGCCCCTGGAGGCCTGGTGAGCAGGGGTGGAACTAGGAGCTGTAACTGGAGTTGCCACTGGAGGGCTGGTGAGCTAGGGCAGGTTTCTATCCCTGCTCTACAGGCAGGGGTGAAAGGTTCTGGGATACTGGAGGACTTCAACTTGGGTAGCACATCTGTGGGGAGTGGCCACACCTTAATAGACCAGAAGCTAGTAGTGCCGCTCAGAGATATTCCTGCCCCAGAGTGATGCAACTCTGAGCTACATAATGAGTGCTTAAAACCAGATTAAGCTGTTAATGTGCAGACAGTTCAGGAGTTAAGAGCTCCAGGAGCTACCCAAAATTATATGTAACAAAGGTCCTGAAGCTCAGGTGATTGTGATCAAAAATGTTAGCCACTTCCAGGCACAAAGAACACTGCTGATGAAACAAAAACAGCAGCAATGCTGCCAACTCTTGTGCAGAGCTAGGGAGGAGAAAGCCAAGGCTTAAGTAGCCTGTGGTCACAATGGAGACTTACTTAAGTTCTTTCAGGGTGTCAACAGGCTACAGTTATTCCTGGCTTCTGGTGGACTGGTGCCTCCCTCCACCCATCCAAGCACCACAGCCCTCTGCACTGGAGCCCCAGACTACCACTCAGGGTCTCTGGGCAGAAGAGATACTGTATAGAGCATCTTCAGGCAGCTTCCTGCAATCCTCACATAACCCATTTCAGTCTCTTGGACTGCCAGAGCCTGTTACGGGAATCTAACCTAGAGAGACAGTGTGATACTAAAGCTTCAACTTCCTACCACAAACAATGCTGTGGGGTTAATTGTGCCAAGCAGAGGTTTTCAAACTGGGGATTCAAATAAGATTTATTTTACTCCTATTAAGTTGCAGTCTCATTAGTTAATTCAAACAGATTTGTAGCTAGATAGCCTTTATGGTAGAGTTCTTACTTCCTTTTCCTAGGGGGTATACTATGCATTACATTAAAATTAGTTATTTTACTTTTCCCCCCCCCCATGTTAGAGTGAAGGGTATCATTTCATCATCATTTACTATAGCATTAAACTCTGTTCATGTATGTTAAGCTAGATGTATGAAAATATTCATTGGAATTGAATCCTGCACAAATACTAAATGGCATGTGTCAAAACTCCAGTGCCTGTGATGACTTTGCAACCAGGTGCAGAAGAGGCAAACTGCTTGGGTCTCACACGATCAAGCCCACTATGCAGTATACATGACCTCGTGTCACATTAAGCTTGACCTCAAAGTTCAAGCATCTCCTATCCCATTTTTATTTTATCAAGAGAACTAAGCAACTGATAACTAACAGCAAGCTTGATAAAGATTAATGGATTCAGCAGGTTTTTAGGGATTATTTATGCCTGAACATGTTTGAAACACAAGTTGGATTTTGTTTAATCAGACAGAAAGCCACTCGGAGTAAAACATCATTTAAAAAAAAAAAAAAAGCAACCCTCTTCTCCCCCATCCCCGCGTGCACAAAAGAGCCCCCCCCCCCAAAAAAACCAAAAAACCAACCCTGCCATGCAGATTTCATAAAAAAAGTCATTGCTGCCCAGCTTCCTCACAAGAATCACCACCCATATCCAGCACAGGAGAGCAACTGTTGGTCTGTGCAAGACTACTTTATCACACATGACTACGGGGCAGCAAAGCGAGTGGGTTGGATAGTACCATCCAATTCTGAGAAGCTGGTTGCCCAATCTGTTCAATATCTACCAGTGTGGTCACAGTACACATCGTGAGAAGTTCTGCAGTGGCAGACTGTTTGAAAGAGTCCAGATCACTCACCTAGCTCTCCACCAGAGATAGAGAAGTCCTTTTCCAGAATGACCCACTTCTGCACCTTCTGTGCATTTGAAACTGCTCTTTCATTGACTGATGAAATTCCCTTCTGGATAGCTGCATAAATGGCTTTGTCTTTGCCACCTACAATCTCAGAGACTTTTGTTGCTTTGCTGCCTAGTTTGAGACAGTATTCTATAGCTTCTGGAGTGAGGTCATCCTCTGGTTCCCCAGTTTCTTCGTTTGCTTTGCACTACAGAAGAAGAAGTTAGAATGACTAAAGGGAATATTCCCGACGTAGTTTTGCATTGGAGCAAGTCTTAGGACCATGCATGAAGTTACTACGTTTTACCTCTTCTCTCCATGCTTCCCATCCATGCCCTTAAGTGGCCAAACTAAGCAGACAGCCAGAACCACCACTTAAACTCCCTAGCTCTACCAAGGTAACAGAAAAAAAAACTTCAAAACAATACTAGTAAAGACTGTTTTAAGAGCCAGGGGTTAAACAAAGCTGCACCTCATTACCACTGCAGAGATAATGAATTTGGAAGAACAGAATGGGGCAGGGAAGAAGGGAAAGCAGCAGGTTGTTTTTGAACCCAACTGCTTGCATGTCCTTCACTTTTCCAACTTCCCCCTATTTGCTGCACATGCATGGGCTTATATAGAAGTGACTGCACATCAAAAATCTTTAGGTCGTTGGCCAGAGGTGCCCAGCTTGCATCATGCATACCACATGGCACAGGCAGCCTCTGTGCATGGCATGCGATAGACTGGGGAGAAAGCAGACAGCTTAAAGTGGCAGACTGGGCGAGAAACAAGAGGCAAGGGGCAGCAGATCAGGCATTGGAGTGGCACTTAGGAAGGGCATAGGGCTGGTTATTTTGGCAGACATGCATGCCACAGAGGTTTGCCTCCACTCTGTCAGACAGGAAGGCAAGATCAGAGTTGGCAAAAGTCTGCAGTGTTACCTGTAAACAAGTTCCTCATAAGATTAGGTACAGTATGTCTAATAGTGGGATGCTGCCAAGAGTCTTTACATGTTGTGCAATGGCTCAAGGGTGTTGTAGGATCATACTGTGGGAATCGAAACTTTAAAAACTGACAGGGACAAACCCTTTAACTCAGGGGTGGGCAATTTTTTGGGCTGGAGGGCCACAACCAGGTTTGGTGAGCTGCTGAGGGCTGCATGTGCACACATGCTGGCGCTGCAGGGGATGCTCACTGTAAACAGCTCCTCCCACATGGCACTGTGGCAGGCCCCAGGCTGGGCTGCTTCCACCCAGCATCCCCTACAGCACCTGGGGGATGGAATCCAGCCCTGCAGGCTCTGGGCACTGCCTACAGGCAGAGGCTAGGGCCCAGCTGTGACTCAGCCAGGGCCTGTGGGGCCAGACCCCATCTCCCAGGCCACTGTGCACTGTTGGGTGGGACTGCTTCCAACTGGTAGCCCCTGTGGTGCCAGCGGAGGCTGGAGCCAGAGCCACTGCCTGCAAGCAGATGCTGGGGCCCCAGTATGGCTCACCTGGGGCCTGCCACAGTGCCAGCTCCTGCCTGTGGGCCAGATAGAAATTAATGAGCAGGCTGGATCCAGCCTCTGGGCTGTATTTTGCCCACCTTTTGTTTTAATTCAACCAGAACAGCTCTTCCTCTGGGGTAAAGGCAAACACATCCTGTTCTTTGGCTACTTAAACAACTAACTAAAAACAACCACTCTCCATACCTTCAGTGTTAGCAGCATAGAAAGGAACTTTGCTTTGTCTCCAACCAACATAGCATTACTAATTATGGGAATAGCCTCCTTCACAGCATCCTCAACTGGAACAGGAGGAATATTCTCACCTCCAGCAGTAATGATGAGCTCTGGAAGAAAGAAAAGAATAAAGCTGTGATCATTCACTACATTTCTCTTTTGTCAAGTGTTTTTTGTTTAGCCTGAACTTTAAGTGTAGATTTCAAACAGCCAAAAAAGGCCCCTCAAGTGTTGCAGCAGCACCCATCTCCAATAGACAACTTGAGATAGCTAGCATTTTAAAAAAACCCACCATGATTCAGCAAGACTATACAGGCAGCAAGGTGAACCCAGTTTAATTAGCACAGTGGTTGGTAGATATTTTAAACACAAATGAACAGAGGTAGCTTCTTTGAGTAGAGTTCTTCATTAACGTATTGCAGGGTTTGAGACTCAGCTGCACGATTTATCTGCCGTTTACATGGGAAGTACATGGGCTATGGTATAAAGCATGTACGTCAAGCATTCTCGTATAGAGATCGGATGCTCCTCTGGCTTACCCTGGTCCTAGGGAGGTGCCAGGAGGAATGGTAGGTTTGAGTTTGAGCTGTTGCTTGGGATCATGATCTGTGTGCATTGCCGAGCCTTCCCTTTAAAAGGCCTGTTCTTGGACCGTGAAGCTGCCACTCCCCAGGCAAGAAAGCAGCCTGTTTAACCTGCTCTTAGCAGAACTTGTGGTTGTGGCTGGCTCCAGACCTGGACAGGGGCCATGGAGGCAGATCTGTACCCAGCTGTACCAATACAGGGCTGCCTGTTTCTTCAACATACAAAACAAGCCCTGCCTTGTTCCTCTGAGCAAGGTAGACAGTTCCTGTCTTTGTTCTTTTGGACATCTCAGGTATGGCACTGGCAATGTCCCCTTGCTGCGCAGAGTGCCTCCCAAGTACTAGGAGCCAGACAAGAGCAGAGAGGAATTTAGATCTTAGTGACCTGGCTGCCTGCCTGCCTCGATCCCAACACAGAACAGAAGCAGAACAGGATTTTCCCCAACTTTCCAGAGCTTGTGCCAGACTGCAAAGCTGCATAGGACCTCTACAGGACACACTGGGCCACAGATGTAGTACACAGTTTGGGGTTTTTGCTTAAATTTAGTTTCCTGTTGTAACCCCAGCTTGTTTACCACGTGTCACACTATTAAGTTGCATTTACAAGCCACTTCCAGGAACAGCTATACTAGAAACCACTTTTGCTAGAAAAGTGAGATTGTCATAAGCTGCCTGACTAGAACAGTAGATTTAAAATGGGAACAGTTGTCTGGCTGGCAATCAAAATCTGATCGCCATGGTAAAACTGGCTCTCATCCCAATTTTGAAGGTCTTAACTTTTCCTACCCCTGTACCCCTTTGCAAAGGTTTCTCCTGTCATACTGTATGCCACACCAATGATAGCAGAACACCTTAAAGAAAGCAATACCAGTTGTAAGTACATATCTCAGGACTTATTGGAGTCACCTTCCCTTCAGACCTGTCATGGCTTGCACAGAGAGACTTGTGGTTAGCTTTCAAGATTCGACAGATCCTGTGTGATGAAACCCATGATGACATCCCAGTTAACTGTTCAGAGTGATACCTTTAATCCTTCCAGTGATGAAGAGGAATCCATCCTTATCATGTTTGCCAAGATCACCTGAGTGTAGCCAGCCTGCTTCATCAATTGCCTCTTTGGTTTTGTCTTCCATGTTCAAGTAGCCCATAAAGACATGCCTTCCTGAGAAACAGATCTCTCCATTGCCGTCACTATCCGGCTTGTAAATCATTGTCCTACAGCCTGTAATCTCCTTTCCACAGCTAAAACAGACAGAGTGTCTTTAATGTTTAGTAGCAAAAAAGTTGTTATTTGGAGACTCATATGTAAACGTAAACTTTCTGAAGTCTTGTTACACCTCCTCCAGCAAGGAGTTTATGTCCCCAAGTCCCTTCTTGTGTAATGCGATCTACAGAGGATTTGTTGTCAGTGTTTGGACACCTGGTGTTTTCAGGCTGCTGTTTGTGAACACCTGATGTTGAAGAGTCTGAACAGGTGCACTTGTTCTGTACAGTAGACACCACCTTGCGTTATCAGTCCCAAAGTAATAAGGAACCTAACCTGTACTAACATTTTCTGTAAGGCGGTACCACTGAAGGAGGGCCAGAATTGCTATTTGTTTGCCCATGGTTCCTGCTACTCCCACACAGTCATTCTTCACAAGCGTCTCCAAAACAAACTCACTAAGCTTAAACAGAGCTATTTTTCATAGGTAAGTGGCAAGTTTAACTGCATGGCTGATGCACAGACTCTCACTAATCCTGCTTTATTAATAGTTTGTGGATGCTGGCAGACTGAAGACGACGGTAGCTGTATTAGGATGCACCTTTATATCAGCTAATGAAATTACTTTTCTGTGCGGCATTAGTTTCTTTCCAAAGCCCAACTCAAGTTAAGAAATTTACCTAGAGATCCTGAATGCATGTGGGAGAGAGATCGTATGAGGCCCAGAGCTCTCACTCATGCCGTACAACTCATACACAGGAATGTTGAGACTCAAGAAAAACTCCACAGTCTCTTTAGTAATTGGAGCAGCCCCAGTGTAGCATTTTGTGCAGCGATCCAGTCCAAGAGCCTTGCGAACTTTTTTATACACCAGCTGTTTGGCTAAACGGAAGTTCACTGGGAGTTCATTAGACCTTTAAGAGAAGGATTTAAAAGATGCACAAGTTAGTCAAGACCCCTTGCTGGAAACTTTTTGATAAGCCAGACTTCTGCTTGAAAATAAAGATGTGTCAACTTTTACTACAGACTATTAGTTAAAAAGACTCATGCCTATAACATCTGACAGCACCAGGCATTTCAGAGATCATAATATACTGGTGTGAAAGAGCTGCATTTATTTTTACCCCTTCATCCTTTTCAGGTTGGTGTGTAATCCTACTTCTTTAGCCCATGCTGCCACTTTTCTTCTGAGCATAGAGGATTTTGAGCCCACAGATTTCATTTTTTCTTCCATTTTCTCCCAGACGCGTGGAACGCCCATAAAAGCAGTTGGTCTCACTTCCCGTAGTGTGTCTACTAAGGTCCCCTAGACAGAATGAGATTTTTAGGTGAGATGATTGTGGCTTAAGGTGTGTAGGGGGAGGACACAAATCAATGGATTGTTTATAGTTACCGTCTACTATCACATTTCTAACTTAAGCATCTCTATGTTGCAATTCCACTACACTGTTCCCCTCCCCTAAAAAAGGGAGGGTAAAGGCAGCTCTCTTCTGGGACCCCGGTGACTGATCTAGCCCTGAATCATCAGAACTGGAAACACTTGTTTCGTCAAGCAGGCAGAATCAAGATGGGGTTTTGGGCATTACACGTGTTTTGGTTTTCCAAAAGCTAGAAGTTTGTTTGTACTCCTCACCTAAGCTTCAGATTCACCTGTACCAACAGCACAAAGACAAGAATTGGATCTTGTTTGTCAGTACCAAAGTTTTCAGTCAGTCACAACATCTGGACAAGGCCTACAGGATATTCAAATCCAGTGCTCCAGCCAATTATTAGGAAGAAGGTGCATTATCCATCCTCCAAGACTACCTTAAAAGATCGCAGTAAGGTATTCTTTAGCTTACAGAGAGTGTGCTTAGTCACCTTATTCAGGTCCAGAAGCAAAACAGGAGGCCAGAGTTCCTCGTAAAGTCTATATTAAGAATCTGTAATGTTACCAAACCAAAGTACTTGTTATACTTGGATACAATACAAAAAGGGCGCCAGATTTTGGCTGCTGGATACAAACTAGCCTAATTTTTTCAGCTCTTGACATGATTTATTAGAGACTTTTAAGCATCAGCTTTGACACCAGCTTAAAAATGTGTTAGACTATAGAGTGTTTACCTTCAGTGCATCTGGTTGAGCAAAGAAAGTTTGTGCACCAAATTTTATTGGCAGCCAAATATCAATCATCTGAGCAGCAACGTGACTGAGGGGAAGGTAGCTGATCACCGTTTCCTGCTTTACTGTAGCTTCTGTCAACTGCACGTACTTCCCAGCTGCTAATGCAGTCCATGTTATCTACAACAGAAACATGGAGTTACTGTTAGTGACAATTGTTCTGAATGCATTTGCAAGGCACAGTAGAGAACAGCGGTTGTCGCTATCTAAATGCATATGCTTTGTATTTAATCCTTTTAGAAGTCATGTTTAAAAGAAAGTTTCAATTTTTAGTCTCTCTAGCTTATCTAAGGTAGGGTCTGGATCCACTAAGATCAGGCTGATTTCAGATAGTTCAACACCTGCTATTGAACATTAATAGTGGCTTTCCCTCATTTCCCCATTCTCACAGGGGACTGAATGTAGGTTGGGAAAGCTTTAAACAAACAAACACCCAAGAACACCCCCACCCCAAATCTTGTACATAAAGGCCAGGGGTTTTTCATTACAGGCTATTCCTGTATGACCTAGACAAGCTATTAAAATAGAGCTCTTGTCAGAATATTTTAGTGTCCACAGTTCAGCCGCCTCTGGCACTTAGCAGTGCATTTTGAGATCTCATAATGGATCTCTCGTGCTACCTTGAATTGAGATTTTTACTTGTCTGAAGGAATACTTACATTATCATGACTGAGCATAACTCCTTTTGGCTGCCCAGTTGTTCCTGAGGTATATATTAGCGTACAGCATTGGTTTGGTTTCTGCGAGGCAATAATATTATCGAGCTGGGTGTCTGGAACATCATTGCCAATGTTCATAAACTCACTCCACTATATTAAAAAAAAAAAGGAAGAGCTTAGTCAGGTTTTATACCATTTCTACATATAAAACTGAACTATGTCAGGAGGGGGAAGGGGCATTATTTGAAGATACTGGTTTTTTTAGATACTTCATATCCATATAAAAATCCAAGTGTCCTTACTTAATATATGCAGATTTTCCCATTAAGAATTTCCTTCCATTACAATATGGTTTTTAACAACTAGGACTTGAGATGTGGCACCAGCCCTGTAACTTTCTCTGTTGCCAGGGAAGTGGGGCCAGGAAACGTAAAAAGAGAAGATGCTTTGGGGAGCAGATGTCAGTGCTAAGGAAATGTCTTGCAGGACATGAGCAAGACAAACATTTACTAAGGGTATAGTGATATCTACGCGTATAATGGAGGTCCCGATTTATAATAGAACTTGGAGATTTCTTCAGAAACAGCACTGACTGGGAGAAGGTGGCCCTCCAGGAAGGTTTAGAAATAGCAGTCTCTCTTTTGCAATCATTTATGCAAGTGTAGAATAGGTGAAGTCTCACACGTCACATTATTCAGGTTCTCATTTTGAGATGTTTCCATCCATTTTGCATCTGTGTAAGCAATTATTGCAGTTCATCCTTTGAGATACCATAATGTCGGCAAAAAGCCCTTCGTTGAAGATGAAGGCCTCACAAGAACCAACCTTCCATGGTGATAAGTCGCAAGAGATTGTCATGGTACTGCTTAAGTTTCCAAAAGAGGCTTATGCCAGGAAGTGATCCAATATCTTGCAACCTGGAATGCTTCCACTAACTTCTCCACTTCAGCAAAGTGTGGGGAGCTGCATGTTCTCAAAGTGTTACAAACCTTCAGTTTGCTATGTTGCCAAATAGTACTCTTTGATAGAGGGAGTGAAGTGCCAAGTATGAATACTTCTTACAGTTACAGGGTTCCAGAACAGCAGATACTACTGAAGTGACCTCTTACAGTACGAGTCATAAAATCTGAATCCAGTTGTGGTTGAAAGCAGAGATACCAGTTCTGGCACACTGTAGTTTCATTGAGGAAGTGGTGTACACCAAGAAGTGCCGACTTACAAGAGAGAATTAATTACAGCCAGCTATTCAGTGTTCAACTAGTTCACTTAAATTGAATCTCATTACTTACAGTGTAGAGGTTTGGTCTTTTCTCCTTTAGCTCTTCATTATACACAACAATGGCTTTCAGAAGAGGGAGTTTGTGCTGAACCTGAAACAAAGTCAAATATTAAAATAAGCTGGTGTTTCCCCCCCACTTCTCTTCAGCCGGACACAAGCAAAAATACAAAAATTCCCAGTGTTAAAAGACATTTTCACAGAGTTGAAAAGGCAGCTCTCTACACATTGTTTATTAACAAATTTTGGACTAACAAAATGCTCCTGATATATTAACTACCTACTAGAAATGCCTCCCAACAGCTTAGAAAGCAGTTATCCAGACTGAAGCCCATTGCCAGATAACTAAATTAATCTTGGCTTGTGGCATTCCACAAACTTGAGCCGTGGCTATGCCTTGAAACCAAGTGTTCAAATTTCATTCCAACTAATGCCCGTCCAACGAGGAAATGCGCAGGTAAGGTTATTCAAGGTCATTTTTATTTTTTAGGTGCTAGTTGTCATATTTAAAGTTTGTAACCACCATGTCATTCTAATCCCAGTTCTGTCTCCCCATCCAATCACAGGACGATAACAGCTGCATGTTGGCTCTACTTCAGATTTTAGGTAAAACAGCCAAGCAAATAACCAGTAGCCTCTAAACATAACTGTAAAACAGTACTTACTTCTAGGATTTTCTGCAGCTGTTTCTGGTTCTCCACAACCAGGATATTAGCCCCACAGTTCTCTGCTACATACTGGCAGGCATCAGGGGAGTTTGTAGTATAGATGCCAACAGCAAAGCCACTATAATAAAAGTAGAGAGTTAAAGGGTAAACGAGCTGAAGTTCAGGCATCCAAGAGCTGGCCCAAAAGAGAATGCTCCATAAGCTACATCAAAAAGATTTCTGCTTTCATTGCCTTGCAACTCCAGCACTAGTGATATATTCTTGAAATTTAAAGCTGAAATTCTATTTACCAACACTGAGAGATGGTGTGAAGTGACAAAATATTAGATGGGCTAAGCTGAGATTCCATAAAAAGGTGTGGGCCCAAGTATTCCCCGTTCGTCCCCACCACCTCATCTGGGTGCACTGCGCAGCAAAAATGTTTTCAGACAAGCACATTATGATGAGAGACCTCTACAAGTGAACAAGACTACAGAAGGCATCTTCAATAACCAAGTTAAACCATATCTAGCTTTAGGTAAACTAGGTTTAGATTTAACTGTCTTAGTTACAAAAAGCAGTAACCGTCAAAACCTACTCTGACGTAGCAATTTAATTTGCAGTAACACTGAAGTCTAAGTTGGTTTCTTACCCTGCGAGGATAGCGCCGATGTCTGCAATGAACCACTCTGCAGAATTAAATCCCAGAATGCCCACACCATGGAAACGCTCCAAGCCCAACTGTGAACAAAAGAAGCTACAATTTTACTTCTCTTTAAAGAAAAACGTCACAAGCAAGTTAAGAATCTCAACAAGTCATCAGCAGAGGCAGCTGGCTCTGGGTACCTAGTGTCTGCCTAATCAATACCAAGAAAAGGAGGATCAAACCACTATACAAGAGGATTTAGATAGTAAAAAACGTCCTGAGACTTGCTACGAAACATGATTCATCAACAAGTGATCGCCTTGGTTTTGTTCTTCAGGACCTCAGCACTAAATATTGCAGCCCCCAAGTATCCTCCTACTTTTGCAATAGGCAGACACAATGCAAGTGCATGTTGCTAGGTCCACAAATAAAAGGCAGGAATGCATGGTCTAAGTGTCTTTTATTTAAATTTATTTTTTCAGGTTTCGGTCTCATGAAAATAGAGAGGATTTGATCCATCAGATAAAAAGAAAGAAAGAAAAGGCTTGGCCATACAGCTCACGTAAGGTGGCGTCAGGCAAGAATGTGTAATTTAGTGAGAAGTCTAAGCAGAGATTAAGTAGTTTTGCCAGGCTCTCATACAAGCAGCCTTGTCTTTACAGCTCACCTTTTAAGTTCTCTAATTCTGAAACTGCTTCCAAGGAGTGGCGAGAACACGAACTTTAGAGTGTGAGCATTGTTAAGGCAGCAGCCCTTCAGCTTGTATTACTTAAATCTTCCCCCCACCCAACATGGAGAAGAGTAAGGAGGAAGTGGAAGAACCATTCCTAGCTTTTGCTGAGAATCACCAGATGATCACATTGAGGCGTGGTTGGTAGGTTTTTGGCAGTTCTGCAATATTCTTGTGGGTAGATGAGGAAAGTAATTAGGCGAGATGTAATGAATTATGCCAGGTTTGTAGCTTAAGCTGAATCCTCCAAGGGATTTTTTCGTAGTAATGTTTCCTTATACAAAAGCCTATAATTTGAGGGTCTTACGCAGGCCTTTTCAGCGGTTGTCAGACTTCCAAAGTGAGAGTCCAGAGCAACTCTTAAGCTCATGCCAGATCAAGTCACTTGAATTCTTTAGCCCTAAAGAAAGAGAGTCCTCTTCCCACTCAGCTTGGCCAAATCGTAATACCTGTTGATGTACCAAGGGCAGAGTCACAGAAGAATCTTAGAAATGAAGGGCTGGAAGGAACCTCTAAACATCATAAGAGTCCAGCCCCCCTGCTCTGGGCAGGAGTACTGTTGAGATCAAATGATCCCAGCAAGGTGCCTGTCCAGTCTCCTCTTGAAGACTTCCAAGGTTGGAGACTGCACCACCTCTGTGGAAAGTCTGTTCCAGATTCTGGTCACACTTACCATAATGTTCTTCCTTACATCCAACCTGAAGCCATCTTCTAACAGTTTATGGCCATTGCTCCTTGTCCTCCCCTGGGGCACCCTAGTGAACAGTTTCTCAGCCCCCAATATTCACCCCTTACATACTTATAGAGCCACCAAGTCCCCCCTCAGTCTTCTCTTCCCCAGGCTGAAGAGTCCCAGATCCCTTAGTCTTTCCTCATAAGGTCTGTCCTCCAGGTCCTTAATCATTCTTGTGCTCCTTCTTTGGACCCTTTCAAGACTGTCCACTTCTTTTCTGAAGTGTAGCACCCAGAACTGGACACAGTATTCCAGCTGGGGTCTCACCAGCGCTGAGTAGAGAGGAACTGTCACTTAGCCCTGCTCACAATGCATCAGCTAATGCATCCCAGTACGCTATTAGCCATGTTGACTACAGCGTGACGCTGGCAGCTCATGTTCATCCTGTGATCAACCATAACCCTACTCCTACTTTGAAAGATTAAAAGGTAAAAGAAATGTGCAAATTCAAGATATAACCAGAGTACACACTTTCTAGTAGTCAATAACAGAGGTGGGCAGGCTGGCAAGTACAGCTTTGCAAAGGGAGAGATACCTTTATAAAGCTTTTTGCTGCCTTCCGACATTCAGTATAGTATTGCTTATAAGTGAACTTGATCCACTTGTCATTCTTCTTTGATGCAAGAGCAAAATAGTCGCCATAGTTTTTAACCGATTCCTGGAATAGCTCGTGAACAGTCTTTGGTGTTTCACTGCCAATGCCATGTTCATCCATCCTCAATTTGACCTCTCCATCCCTCTGTGTAGTCCATAGGCCAGAGGTAGGAGGCGGAGAGGCTGGCGCTTAAGAAGAAAAAAAGGTGTTAATGCAAGCCAAAACACTTTTAACCTGCCACTATGGCAATGCGCATTTTATAAAAGCAAGTGTCAGATCTGAGAACAAGTGCCAAGAATATCAGTCCAAAGTCTATGTTGTTCTTTACTTTGATACTATTCCATTTTAAGACTGAATTTGGAATGGATAAAACCTGGATGTGTTCAGACTACTACAGGTTTAGTTTTCATTCACTGCTCACTCCAACGTATTTCACTTGGTCTCCAAGGAGGGCAGCATCTTGAACTGTCCCCTACCCCCAAACTTGGCCTCTGCAGTAGTGACTGTAAGTGCTCTCCCAGAGAACTTTGGTGTGGGGAGTAAAATGTGTACTGTATTGCCAATCAAGCACAAAATGAATACCACTACATCCAAAGCTGAAATCCAACACAGTTTCTGAGCAGAGTGCCCTGCAATTTAAAGTTTCTGCTTCCATTTATAGAATACTGAAATTACCGGCTTCCAAGTTCCTGTAGAGATCAACTTATTAAACAACAATCCTATATAGATAGTTGTAATTATTTTTTTTTTTTTGCTCACCTTTGAACATGAACATCTCTTTCTGAAATTCGTCGGTCTCAGTCTCTTTAGTTTTTATGACACTGTGGTCTTCAACAATTCTGCAAGGCAACAGTAAGCTATTTAAACATGGACTATCTATATTGACCTAGCAGCATGCATATTCTTACCACATCCCCTCAACCCTCAGACATTCTTTTTAGAAAAAAATTCAGTTAAACTAAGCTCTGGCTGCCAGAGAGCCCCAAAATACTTACATTCCCAGCTTTCTAGATTTAAGTCTGCTTTGTTATTCATTTTACCAGTTGGGTCTTTAATGGAGGCCAACTTGAGGAGAGTCCCTGTCCCCAAGAGTTTACAATCTGAAATGTCTTTGTGGTCAAAAGAGTTCGACTACAGGACTGCCTGCATTCAGTTGAGAACAAGATTACCTGTACTTCAGTATACATGAACCAGCAGTGCTAGGCTTGGACGACTAAGAAAACCATCTAAAAATCTTTCTAATTTCACAACGTGGTAGAGCAGATGCCAGAAGCCAATGACCTCCATCAGCAGCAAGGGAGATGCAGGTCTGCTGCTCCTCTCCTGCTAGAGAAGCCAATGTAAAGACACTAAACACCAGCTGTTACCTTTCCTCCTTACTACCCAGAGTAGTGGCCAAACCAGTAACATCCCTAGGAGAATCCAGCTTCCCGCAGGAGATTGCGGCTTGAGCACAGGTTAATTCACAGCCTCCAATACTATTTTAGTACAACCTTTAATGTGCTTTTGCCATCCCTGGTTAATAATGTGATGCAACCATAGTACCAGATGCTTCAAAGGAAGGGTAAGAGGACTCCCTTGACAGACAAACCAGACCAGAGGGCCAATTTATGACCCTAAGCAGTTAGTGGCTGGCTTTTGCCTCTAAGCATGAAGTTTCCCAAGCATGTTGCACTCCCTTGTGTGTGGTCGTGGATATACATAGGATCCTAAACTCCATATGGCTGAGCTATTGATCTCAGTAATATCTTAAGCTTCCCCAGTAGCCTACCACCACAGATCTTTAATTACGCCATACTCCAATCCCCATCTTAATATCTTGGATTTTTTTGTTGCAGGTAGCTTTTAAGAGCCAGAACATTTGGGATCCTTACATTATGCAGCTGAATCATGTTAATCATTTAAGTAATGTTTGACCAATCTAGACTTGGACTGTAAACTCTTTGGAGTAGTAGGTAGTTCTGATTTAAAAAGCTTAATGCAAGACATGTAGGTGGGTCCTCTTCCTACAGGAAGATTACTTTTCTACTGTGGGTCTAAAGACCTTTAGTCAACACTGTCCCTTAAAGCTTTTGTAAGTGGGCAATGCAAGAACTCCATGCAATCCTTCTGGCTATAAATAGGAATGGAAAGGCTTATTGTTTTTCCTCTCCAAAATAGGTTTGTCAGATATTCACTCCCTTCCCTCATTACCCTGTTCTCATAATGTCCTGCCTTTGCTTGAATGGACTCACCAGAATGAGGGCTTCTCCAACAGTGAATTACAACTACGTGTTTAATGTCCTGCTTTCGTATTATTCACATGGATGGTGTTTCTCTATACTAGCATGCAGAATCAAATAACCTTTAAACGTTAAGGTGATATATGAGGTAGGGAAACTATGATTACTGTCCACCCCCAGGGAATTAAGCTTTTCTATCTTGCCTCCCACACAAGCTGTCCCTAGAATGTCACCTTAGGTCGTTATGCAGACAAACATTTCTTCATGTCTGTGCTGAACCTTCACTTTTCTTCATGACAGTTTAGGTGTGCACGTGGGAGGGGAGAAGGGGACAAGAGGAGATTCTTTGTGCCCTACTAAGCACCTGTCCACAGTTTTGGAGGGTTTTCCCCAAGTGTCTAATGCATAGAAATGAACCAATGTCAGTCTTCTAGAACTCACTAGACATTTATGACTTCACTAGCATCCAAATTCTACTTTATCCCCAATACCAGATGACTTTGTTGCACACACACAAGACTGCACTTGATGCCAATAGGCTCTGCTATTTCTATAGCAATCATTAGCAACATTGCAACAGACTCCTAACTTGATTCTAGCAAACATTTCTAGCAGCAGAGTTGGTCCCATGCAAATTTCTGTTCCTAATTCAGTCTCAATTCTGCTCCAAATCTACAGCTTCCTTCTTTTTGTACGAGAAGTAAAACGATCCATTTCCTGGAGAAATGCCGAGTGCCATTACGGGATGCTGTGTTCGTATTATTTCATAATTAGCAAGTTTGGTCATATGTAGGAATAACTACGTGCCGAATTGCACCAACAGGCCAGATGCGCTTTCATCCCTACTAAACCCATAGGAATGGAGGGGGCACAGCATACTGCAATTTTTTTTTTTTTTTTTTTTTT